CATAGACCTTCACGGGCCGCTTTTTTTGCAATACTTAGCCCGAGTGACAGCATCAAACTCAGCCTACTGCTTTTATGCGAAAAGTGCAAATTATCAACATTGTGCTTCGCGTTATTTGAAAACGTTGCTTAAAAATAGATTTGGACCCTACATGCCGAACTTCAAAGCAAAATTCGAATTTTGATTTTATTTTGTAATTTTTCCATATTAAAATCTGATCTACAATTAATAGTTCTGAATATGAAGCTACGAAAATAATGAATTCATTATAATTCATAATATTCATTATGAAAAAATTAAAAATTTGATTATTAGTTACTAAAAAGACAAAGAGACATCGGTCGAAATTAATGAAACGAATTCAACAGAAAATAAAATAAACATTCAAGAAAATAAAAATTCTCAATTTTAGTTATTTCAATACATTAATTTCAATGATTTTGGCTATTTTATCATTTCTATAGATTTCTATTCGCAACCATCAATTGAAAATCGGATTTGAATATGAAAAATTTTTTGAATTTTGGGTTGAAATTTGATATGTAGGGTCAAAATCGATTTGTAAGCAGCTTTGTCAAATAACTTATTTCGGTATCTCCAACGCGAAGCAAACTATCAAGAATTTGCACTTTTCGCGGGATCTCAGTGGGCTGGCTTTTACCGGTAATCCATAATTTTGAAACAATGAACGATTTTTAGTAAATTTTAATTCAATATTCTTCTTTGTATCCAGTGAGGAGTCAACCTCTTTTAATGTAGTGACTTGTTTATTGTCTACATTGTAATTCTACAAAAAGGATTTGAAGCTTTATATCTTCTATAAATTATCTGCGACTACTCAAATCCAAGTTTCCCGCAATGCATCAATTTTCATCAAGTATTGCATTTTCTGACAAATGGATAATAAAAAAGTTTTTCATATGGTGCAAACTTTTTGAAACTCACTGTATAACATGATGGAATAAGTATAAGTTGGACTCCTCGGGAGTACTGTGTTCCAATCATTAGGATGCCATTGAAGTTCTTCCTGAATATGATATATCGAAATATTGGAACGCTTCCATAGCTTACTGTTTTGCCAAGAAGTTTTCAACATAAGTTTACTAGCACTATCGATATCTGGATACGTCGAGACACCCGGTATAATTTCGACAATTCAGAGGATTATCGAATATGAAGATATAAAATTTCTGAATAAATATTAATTGGAAATATCTTAATCCTTTCGTAGAACTTTCCATACAGGTTAACATTCAGGAAAGCAAATCTAACAACAGATAAATAAAGGTACAGAATTATCGAAGATATCCATTACAAGCAATATGAAATGTTTACAAAATTAAATCCCTAATGCCTACAAAAGAAGTGAATATTACAAAACAGTGTAGAATATTCTACCTACAGCCATACAAAATAAAAATTACAACGTGTAGGTAATGACAATAAATTAACATTTTCAAATTTATGGAAATGTCGTATCCTAACAACCTCAAAAGTTAGTTTTTATGTAGATGTGACAGTTAACGAAAAAAGTGGCATTGCAATGTTTCCAAAACATTTGCAGACATTAATATTAACAAACGAGTTTCCATTAAATCATCCGTGCATGGATGTAGAGACACTGTAAAACTGACGAAAACAATACCCAATAACATAAAACAATGATACTGTCAACTGTCTGGCAAATGTAGGTAAATTGTAAAACACTGTCGGCTGTCTGGTTATCTCTTTCCACTGTTATGAGTATTAATTGATCATCACTATAACATAAGTCTTTGATTAGAAGACAAATGTTAACGAATTGTCATCTGTTCATAGCGGTTGATAGAAAGAGATATTACATAGAGGGTGTGTGATTTCTATGATCATAAATTGATGATGCATCGGTAAAGTTAAAATAATCGAAGTGTATAGTTAACCAAAATTTCAACCAAATCAGTTGAACAGTATGATTATAGTGGTATGTGCCAACGTTTGACCTGATTCTTAAACTTGTCAGTTCAAATTATTGTACATTACCTTTTTCATTCATGAATCGATTGAAATGAATAATACTGAATACTACAATATTTTATGTTGATGAAATCCTCACCCAAAACGTTCATTCCTTTTTGACATTATTGTGCATAACCGCACAAAAAAATTATAAAAATAGTTGTTAGTTTTGTTTCTATTACGTCAATAAATTGAATGTCAAAAATTCAAACCCACCAGGTTACATTTCAGTATACTCACCAACTCCTCACGATAATATGAATCAAAATTTTGATAAATCCGTCGTTAACTAAGTTGTAACAGAAAAAATTTCAAAATAAATTATTCACAGCACACCTAACAACATATCAAAGAGATATCACTGAGTAATGTTTCAGGATATTGAAACAATATTATATATTAATTTCAAAATGGAGTAGCTAAAATAAACAAATAAAAAATCAGTAAGTGTATGATGAAGATTTGTACATTTTTTGGATTAGAGTTTTTATTCTCATTCAATAAATTGTTTTTTAAATTCATCTGAAAATATCCAAATTCACGCGGTTACTGTTAATGTACAACAAAACTTCAGGATAAGAGTATTTTCCATAAATAACCACTTTCTACTCGATACTAACCAGAATTTTCAACAGTGGTTATATCAGAAATATTGTGGAACTCTTTTTTTGTTCACGTTTTCGAGGCTTTTATTGTCTCTTCATTGGAAACTGTACAATTATTGATTTATTTGAAAGAATTGTGCAAAAAAATGTTATCACTTACAAAAGTTAGGTTACAATTATATTATTATAAATGTACCATGGAGGATGCATGTCATGAATAAAATTGTTCAAAAACACATGTACACACATTGTATGATAAACTCAGGAGATTACATGAAAATGAATATTCAGCGTTAAAATCAATAGATCGTCAGACATTGTTAATGACGGATGAATTTCGACAGAAAATGTTTGACAGAATATGTATTTATCAGACTCATACTTTCAATGTCTTTCGTGGAATAATTCGTATTGGAATCTTATTTGATGACATTTCAAACTAAGTTGATTTTTTGAAAATTAATTTCCGAGACTAAAATTTGTACATTATCAACCAATTATTGACTTAGATCATATTTGTAAAACTGAACAGAAATCAAATTTAACACGTTCTCAATATTCAAGCCAAAATTTATCAGCACTTGAGAGTCTTGTCATATTTCAGGGTACAATCGAAATGCAAAAATTAAGGTGAGTTATACTATAAGTCCAAAATAGTAGGCACTAAATTTACTGACGTTATTGCCTTAATCTGTCTCTTGCAGTGGCGTACGGATATTATACTAAACAGACTAGGAAAAATGATAATAAAATAAAGAAAATCACAACCGTGACAACAATAAGTTCGTTTCAATGCAATATTTCTGAGAATTTAGTGCCTACTATTATGGAATTGTACTATGGCTCCTTTTACCTCTGTTATTTTAATATAGTCACAACCTTAACGAATGCACCGAATCAGTGACAGATGATATTTGCCATTGTTGCACAGATTTTTTCATAAACTATTTCAAATCACATTTTCTACAGACTTGGACTGCCCATTTTTTGAAACTCTTACAAAAAACTAACCTAATCTTTAATCTAACATAGCCCACAATATTGAATAGAAAATGTTCTTATTCAAAAATAACCTAACCTATAACTTAACGAATTTCACTAGTTCGGACTTCCATTGTCTACTATATAAAATGATTTGAAATCCCTATAACTTAAAGTTGTCTACAAAGTTGAAAAAAAATATTCACATTTTGTTTTAGTAATACTTCGTATTTATCTGCTTGCATCACCATTGATGACAAAATACCGAATTATGTGTACAGACTTATTTGTCCTCACATTAACGTACTCTTTACTCATTTATGTTCTATTATAATGTGTACCGAGTATAAAATTCAGAAAAGTTTGCTATATTATTGTACCCCTCCGAAGTTAAAGTTTAAGTTAGAAGTCGATAAAAATAAAAAATAAAAAACAAACATTTTCATTGATCCTTTCACCTATCGATAACAATAGATAAGACAAGTCAGTCTTACATGGAGTTTAGCTGACAAAATTACAACAATATGAAACGAAACAAATTATTTCCCTTTCTTAGTGGTATAAATATTATTTTTTAAAAATCACCAGAAATTCGTGACATTATTCGAGAAGTTACTTTATATTTAATAATTTGATAAAAAAAATATAATAATCATCTACATCTCAAATACCAGCGATTTCGATTCAATATTCATATTTTCAGTGGTTTCGATTCCCCTCAAAAGTACTATTAACCCGAAAATAACGGAAGGGTGATTGATACACCTACTTTTTCAGGACATAAAAATAAACCATACAAAACACTCTGGAGAATATTACGATATATGCAACGTAAATATCTACATTCACGCAAAATAGGCGGCAAATCCAATGCGTGGTTATGAAAAGTTTGATTTTTCAACTTGTATACTTTGCTTTATTTCAATTTCTGATGGTTAAAACAGCCCAAACTTCGAAAAAACATTAAAAACCAAGAAAAAGGTTTCTTTGACAATGTACGAAATGAGTACGAACGACAATGAAATCCACTATATTTCATCAGTTAAGACGGTATTTTTTTTAAAAAAACCTGAGTGTCCACCTTTTTCAATCAGTCTGCGACATAGTTTTTGCACATAAAACTCCTCAAACAAAGTCCTTGACTCGCCCCTGGTTGAAATTCATCATTAACAATTTCGACAACCGTATAATCACAGAATATTTTGCCAGAGATGTAATCAACCCAGGCAATAGAGGATTATCCAAAACTTTTGAAGTTGGTAGGTTTGATTATTTACCTGATATGTGAGTGGGGTGTTTCCTATAAAGGAGGCAACTTTTCAACATTTTCATAGTAGGAGTCAGTTTATCTTGGCCAGTCCCAGGTGAAGTTGAGTTAATAGTTTACAGTCAAGTATTTCTCCAACATAATCTTCGACCATGGAAGCTGGACAAGATATGTCTTCAGTTGAACAAGTTGAACAAGTTCAACAAAATTGTGATTTCCAAAGTGATAACGGTGGCGTAGATATGCCTGCTTCCAGTGACGCTCCAGTGGCAGTCGATAATAGTAGTGCTGATGACAGAAAGTTATTCGTTGGAGGAATGCATTTCCAAACCGGTGAGAAAGAATTGAGGGAACACTTTGGACAGTATGGTGAGATCGAACACATCAAAATAAAAACAGATCCAATTACTGAACGGTCAAGAGGTTTCGCTTTCATCGTTTTCAAATCGGTTGAAGCATTGAGCAAAATTGAATCAGCTGGCGATCATATCATCAACGGAAAAAAAGTTGACCCCAAAAAAGCAAAGGGTAGGCAGGGCAAAATCTTCGTTGGTGGATTAACGGCTGAGCTTACTGATGACGACATCAAATGTCATTTCGCACAGTACGGAACCATAGCAGAAACTCAGATGCCGTTCGATAAGGTGAAAAACCAACGGAAAGGTTTCTGTTTCATAACCTTCGAATCTGAAAAAGTTGTAAGAGATTTGATTAAGAATCCCAAACAAATGATTAAGGGGAAAGAAGTCGATGTAAAACGAGCCAACTCTGATTCCAACCAAATGAGTGGACCAATGATGGGGGGACGAGGAGCCCGAGGTGGTGTTCAAAGAGGTCGCGGTGGTGTGCAAAGAGGTCGCGGTGGTGTGCAAGTAGGCCGCGGTGGTGTGCGCGGAGGTCGAGGTGGCAGAGGGGGTTTTGGAGGACCGGGAATCCCTGGCCAACAGGGATTTGATAACGGCTATGGAAATGTCGGTGGATACGGACAAGGTTATGACTACTATGGAGGTGCTGCTTTTGGAGGCTACGGCCAAAGGTACCAACCGTACTAAAGGAAACCTTTGACATTTCTCGTTTGAGCTGTCTATCTCTGAATGTTGTTTACTCTATATTGTTTATGTATCTTTTCTATGAAGTTTATTATGATTAAATGTTCTATTCTATAACAACTCTTTTATATCTATTTCATGTTTTCAGTATTTATAGTAACTATGATACCTCTCCTAGTACAGCTCTTTACGTTTTTATTCAAAATAATTATCACTATATTCAACAATGTGAGGGTTCTTAATATAAATTATAGTGGTTTTTGGGACATGCTATAGTCAAATTCAATGTAAATATATCTTATTACCATTAAATGTTTTATTCTATAAAAAATCTATATTTTTAACTCTTTTTCATGTACGTATAGGTGTTTGTAGTAACCATATTACCTTTACTATTACAGCTCTTTACATTTTTATTAGAAATATTTGTCATCATCTTCAAGAATGTGTGGGTTCTTAATATTAATTGTAGTGTGGTTTTAAGGCATGTTATACTCAAATTCAATGTAACATGTATCTTCTCTTTGAAATGTATCATGATTTATTTTTCTATTCTATAAAAATATATATCTTTTTATATCTATTTCATCTTGGTATAGGTGTTTATAGTAACCATACTACCTTTACTATTACAGCTCTTTACGTTTTTATTCAAAAGAATTATTACTATATTCAACAATGTGAGGGTTCTTAATATAAATTGTATTGTGGTTTTTAAGACATGCTATACTCAAATCCAATGTATATGTATCTTTTCTTAAATTTATTATGATTAAATGTTAAATTCTGTGGAAAACCAATATCTTTTTCATGTTCATATAAGTGTTTAATTTACTATTACAGCTCTTCATATTTTTATTCAAAATATTTACCACTATATTCAACAACCTCAGGGTTCTTGATATAAATTGTAGTGTATATGTATATGTATCTTTTCTCTGAAATTCATTATCATTAAATGTTCTAGTCCATGAAAAATCTATATCTTTTTATATCTACTTAATGTTCGTTTGGGTGTATATAGTAACCATACGACCTTTACTATTACAGCTCTTTACATTTTTATTCAAAAGATTCATCACTATTTTCAAGAATGTCAAATTCAATAATAAGTATCAAACAGTCGATAACGTTCAGTTCGAAATCGATGATTATAAAATAATTTTCTGAAAGAATTCCTATTGAATGAACAGTTTAGATTATTTAAATATCGCGATTTTGAATAGTGTTTCAAGTTATTATTGAAACTTATTCAACCGTGTTTACCCAATTTGAATATTAAACATTCATACACGGCATAAAGAAACGCGAATAAAAATATTCGCAAATCCATTTTCAGCTATTTTCTTTGAGTAAAGCACTTCATAATTGAAAGATAACATGAATAAACAAATCTCGTTCGAAATGTGACTGGTCAATCAAATTCTGTGCATAATCGAAAAGTATATTTTTTTTCGAGGCGAACCGATTATACATATACGAGTATACCTATACTAGTCTCTACTTCTTGAATTTCCACACATAAAAATTTACTTCACAAACTAAGATCGATAAAAAGTATTGAAAATGACGAAACTTCATCCAACTCATTTTCACTAAAAAATAAGTTGTTGTCAAAAACGACTTCAAAGTATATACTAATATTTAAAACTGTTCCTGAAGAACTGAATCCAAAAAACAAGAGCAGATTCAAATTATTAAATAGTTTGAAGATTGATCGATCTCTGCATATGTTGAATACATTTCAAAATAGAGGCTCCATCTCTATTCTCAAATTGACAAGACACTTCTGTAAAGAGCTGTTATCGCAGGAGACGCTATAATTTTCAAGATATTTTCGTTCATAGAGTTCAAAAAAATGTAGTGAACATATTTCTTTCATTTTGGGTCATTCAACTGAAATAAAAATAACATCGTGAATTATCACTTTTAACATAAAAGCAACTCGTTTCTACACATGAAAATTGTGAACTCTCATCTCTCCAAATGGAATAAAAAAAAATTCCAGTCTCAATTATATATTTGTTTCCTTGTGCAAAAGGTACCAAGCCAGCGTCGCATCTTAGGGATAAGGAACGGCTTGAGAAGCTATTTGGTAAGTGGCTTATGTAGATATAGGTATTATAGATGAAATGTGACGATTGTTTCGAAAGTACTTTTTTTTTAGTGTACTTCAATGTTCCTGTGAAAGTAGTTGTTACAGGTGGTCTTCTTCTTTCAGTTGGTATCTGAACGCAACTTCTATGCATGATCTACACATATTTGTAAACAGTATATTTTGAACTCAATTGCTTTTTTTCTCCTTCCGAAAAAAACCTCATGTGTCTATAAATATACTCCTTTTAATTCACTGAAACCTGTCAGTTATATACAGGATAGAGAATAGCGAAAAAATAAATTTAAAATCGACTTGCAATGGGTTCTTTTTTCAGTAGGACACCTCAATTTTAATGAGAACTCGAATCAACATATTTCCTTTGGATATTCTCGTAGGATACAAATTTGAAATAACCAATGAACAAATTCTGATCGTACTGAAAAAGTTGCTATATTTTTCTTCGAGTCGAACCAAATATTTGATGGTGTAGTTTACCATAAAAATTGATATTTTTAAAAAGTAATGGAAAGTAAAATAATAAACAAAGATTTCGTGTCTCCTTAAAAAAATACAAGATGATAATAGCAAAGACCGCTTTAAATATTGTAATAATCATAATGAATTACGTGCAAAAATCTCTAAATTGATATAAACAAAAGAAAGGTCGATTATGTTCGATACATTCGCAGTGAATACAATTAGAAATTCAGTATCAATATTTTTTGATGAATTCGGTATATGCTTCACAAATTTTAAAATAATCCTCCTTCATTGTTATGTCTCTTTACCAAATCAGGTCAAAAAACTATTGGTTACGAAAAGAACTGAAAATTAGACAAAAATGTTGTTTGGGAGATTTGAATCGTGAGGAAATTACAAAATCCAACTACTAGTTCAGGTGAAGTTTAGAAAACTGTCATTCGGGTATAATTATCCCAAGAATTATCCTGAATAGGATCTTACAAAATAAAAAATTACTATCTAGAAGGTACTTTATTAATTTCAATTTTCCCTTGAATAATCGTGAACTCCGATAATTGAAATGAAGATTTCAATTTTATTTTGACTATGAATATGAATATTTTTAATTACCATGACATATCGACTTTTTTTGTGGGCACAGTTACAGAACTGATCTGTAGATATCGAAAGGGGAGAATACGCAGACGTAGAAAGCCAATACCGTTCTTTCCTGATCCGTAGATGTTGTGTTCTGCGCATTGATTCTCTATAATAAAAACAAAAGTATGCAATTAAATTGTACGTTCTAATTTTTATGAAAATGCGTCAAATTTCGTAAATTTTGTTATTGCTTGAATCTTGAATTATTCAAATTCCACAAAAATTCAACGAGTTGATTAGTCGCAAATTTTTCTAGATAATGAAAATTTAATGAGTTCTCGTGGTTAATTCAACAATAACACGTTTAGAAACATGTGAACTAGTCATTTGAAAGGCTCTCATATGCAGTAGCATATATACGTAATCTATACTATCTATCCTAATACATTTTGAATTTCAATGGCAAAAACATCAAAAAATTTAATGTTTAGGAAATTGAGTTCAGTCTTGAAGGTCCCTTTCAATCTCAAATACCAGTATCCTTTCTGGAGAGGATCTGAATTCGTGGTATCATTCGAAGAGAAATTTCGTTAGTTTTTGCCCCTATTCAATTCAAAATGGATCCGATTCTTGACAACAATTTTCAATATTCAACCATAAATCAACATTTGGTAGACATATTTCACAAAAAGTTTCAGAATCTTTGAGAGTTTATGGCTTC